AGAAATTCATCGATCCTGTACAAAATTATTCTTTATGTAAACACTTTATGTAGTTATATACTCTTTTTCTTTTAATGTTTGTAATCCCTTTTATTCAATTTTCTTTTCATTATATCTAAGAAAATTGATTCCAATTGACTGAAATCAAGCGATTTCCAATATCTCCGTCTGATGTAATTAAATAACCTAGTAATCTACCTTGACAAAGCCTTGGACAAAAAAAAAAAAAACGAAACGTCGGTTGGATATTACATAGCAAATAAATTTCATTTCTTCCCTTCTGGCTGCTTTTTATTGAATAAATATGAAATCAATTATTGATGTAAGTACCTTCAGATATGGATTATCTATACTACTTAACAAGTATTTCCCAATTACTTTAATGTCAGTGGTGCAATTTAAAAAATACAGTGTAATAGTGCGGTTATTTTTTTATTAACACAAACTATATTACGTATTTGAGTTTTTACTAGTTTTCGACGAATCTGGTTAGGTTTTTATTTATATTATTGGCTGATGGACAATCAAATAAGTTTACACTAAGAATTTGTGGGATAACGTTTTAAGTTACCGTCAATTTGTTTGCTAACCAACCATCTTTGACCTAGGCGAAACAGAAAGGGGAAAGTTATCAGCACCGTTAATATAAAGGACAGCCTCTTATTTATGCCTTTCGCCCCTTCACTTCAGACGACACCTGACCCTTTTATCTTTCGCCTTTCTTCCGAGAACATTACACTTGACATTTACCTTTACTGAAGTACTGTAACTAATATACGAGTTCGACGATGCAAATTAAGGTGCAGGCTTTCAAAATTACAATTAAAAACGTAATTAATACTGATTAGTAACAGAATTTTCAAATGTTGCCAATTTCAAAACTACTTCGAGAATGTGTCTGCTACTGCTCTTATTACATAAAAATGATTTTATCAAAATAAAAATAAGACGAAGATTTTTACACACTTTTAAAAATTAACAATTGTTTCGACACTCTTGTGGCTTCATCAGACTTCGAGTACTTACTACTAACGTTAATAATGTATAGGTGTTTATATACAATCTTATATTACAAAGGACCCTAAACAAAAATTTTCTCTCTCCAGCCTCTCAGTCTTTCAGCGTCTCTCACAATCTTTCACAGTCTCTCAGTTATTGCCTAGGTGTTTTTATGGATTTCTCGCAGTCTCTGTGTGAGAGACTTGAACGATAAAATTGTTAATTCAGAGATTCGAGTCTCTCATTCAGAGAATGGATACGAAATGAGAATCTCTCTATGAGCAATTCGAGTCTCGCTTTCAGAGACTCTGAGAGACTGAACATTTTTATCTCGGGGACAGTTCAGAACAAATTTAAGAGGGGAATTGTTACACCCTGTGTGATTGTTTAGTAATATACATAATTTTTTGTATTCATTTATATATTACTATATTGTTTATTAAATACAACACTAAACGACCAAACCAAAATTATGAATGAGAATGTATGTTGTTTTCAAGCATTAACTACTACACCGATCATCATGAAATTTTGTACACACATTGTCAGGGGTACAGAAAAAACACAGGGTACCTTTTATCCAGAAAAAAACTGTTCCCGAAAGACAGAAAAAATTGCTTTTACGTGGTCGTGGATGATTTTTGATACGAATCTATGACATAATTGCGAACGAAGCCACGAGTAAAATCTAGTTTTAAATAAAAGTGTGCGAAAATCTTGAAGTTTTATTTTTATTTTGATATCGATTTTCATCAAGTAAAAGTGGAATCTATTCGTATATGTATTAATTTTAATGTACAAAAATTACTTCAGCAATCTCCAAACCGTTCAATTGCCTACACTTAAACGTCCTGGTGTAGATGTAGTCAGAATAAGTAGAAAACAAAGCCAATCACTTCATCCTCTTTACGAATAATTCATAATGAATAATCATTAGAGCATCTCTAATCATATTTGAAAATAATTTACTATGTGTGTATAGAGAGGTACTCCCATCAAACTAAAAGCATTGCAACAAGCGGTATATTGTGTCTCATTTGATTAAAATTATTAATTAATGTAAATAAAAGTTTTTCTCGAATATAAAAGTTTAGTTTTTTCTAATGAACTGAACAAACGATTTCCAGATGTGATTAATTTCTAATACCGATTCAAGGCTTTGTCACCACCTTAACTAACGACAGGGCTAGGTATTGTGGTGCCATAAATATAAATTATTATTAATTTTATTAATTTGCAATCCCAGAAATGTGTGATAGGAACGTGTCAGATGATATTCAAGTAATTAAGATTTACATACCTATACATATTACGGCTATGTACGGGTCACATACTACATAATATACAGATGGTTACAAATACATTATGTGCATACATTACCTTTAAATGGTAATAAATTTGAAATTACAGCAGACAACAATATCAGAAAATTCGGTTCATTGATCACCGAAATTGTGACACAGTTTAAAATAGAAACGCGTTCTCAACTAATCGTAGATTTACCATTTTGATTACTCTATTTTTTTAGCATATCACAATTGTTAAGTAGGTAGGTAGGTACATCAAAACAATGATTACAATTGAACACTTAGAATATTGCACTATTTTTCTCCAAATTGAAAAGTATTTACAAAACGATTTAATTATGTGCATCCGAAAGTAATTCAATTCCGAACGAATCCATCATTACAAAACAAGAAATAGATAAATTCATAGGATAATGAAATGTAATAAAATTAATTTTTATTAAAAAAAATATNAAAAATATTTTTATAATTATAATCAACCAAATATAGGTAGGTACCTCCTAAAAATAAATAAAATCGTACAACTCTTAATATTCATCTGTAATTAATCATTGCGCTTTATGTGCCAGATATTTTAAACGTATGTATGTATGTAGGTCTTATGTATATAAGTGTATTGTTCAATGCAACTTTCATTCTCACACAGCCAGGTACCTAACATTACGCTTTCAAAAATTAACATAAACACCTAGGGCTACTAATAAACGGTACACATATAAGCCTCTAGAGTAGGTAAAATTAGTAGGATTTAAAAGGCCCATGTTTATATGATCACCTGTCATGCTTACAGTTGCATACCTATATGGATATATGCAGCAATCATTATCTTATCCTAATACAATGTTAACAAAGGAAAAGAAATTTAAGAGATATTTTGGCTTCCAATTGAAATTATCCTTCCGAAATACTTTGTTGAGAAATGCATGCACTTTCGATCTTCATAGATGAATTACATTTTATCGAGAAATGCATGACTGCGAAAGCGTTAGTAAACACCAGCTTTTAAGGTTAAACATTTTAATTTTACACTCACCTTATTTTCTGTGACCAAAAAATGAAGCTCCACGATCAACAAAGATAAGATAAGCTTAACTGATTATGAAGGAAAATCAAATCAGTCTCTATTTTTAACGTTTATCTCACGATAACACTAAATAAACACAGGTACACTACAAACATGGCGTGCGCGAGACAATAAACGACTGAAGAAGTGCTCTGCCTAAAAGTGGTCGATCGTCCTACATTTCGATTAATGTTACTTTAGCGTTACTACCCAGAACACTGCTAGGAGATGTTGGTTGCCTAACCTGAAATAATAGTAATTTAAATTTGAACTGCATTATTCTATTAAAAAGCTTACTGTTTTAAATTACTTCAGGAACTTCAGCATTACTCTCTAATCAGTTTAACTAAAACATAATTCAGAAATTTAATTTGAGTATCTAGTTAAGATAAATTAAGTCATCCAAACATTTTAAAGATAAATTAAAAAACAAAATTGAAAGAAGACTTACCTTATACCGCCAAAATATTTTACGTAGAATACAATTAATCCTGAAATGAATGTTTAACTTTAAAATGAGAAGCTAAAATTTACGATAAAATTGACTACAAGAACAATAACGAAACATTCCTTCAGAAAACGCTTTACAAATATGTATTTTTGTTTCTTTTTTTCAATAAAAGCTTTATTTCACTGTAAATGATTTATACACATATCACAAATGATTAACAAAAAATTACGCAATAGAATCCATTTTTTTACATTCATTTCGCACAGATAGGCTTCTAAAATGGAACAACAAGAGTTATATTAACGATTTTCTAATAGTAAGTAAAAACGGATGTGCTTTTTTGTTGTATTTACATATGTAGAATTTCTAAATGCATTTTTATCGTTTTTCGTTTTTTATTGTATAACAAACCCTATCTAACATGCTTCATTATTTTTTCTTTCTTCATGAAAAACATCTCCACTTTTATTATATAAAAAANAAAAACATATTTATAAAAATAAAATAAATAAAATGTACTGTAATCTAAATGATTTACTCAACGTGTCTTAAAAATAATAGTTTGACGCCTTCATTATAAAAACACAACTAATAAATTAACGTATTTGTGAAAATAGTAATTTTAAAATACATCACAAAATAAGTAGTAGTAGTAGCATTACTACATATTTTACAAACGAAATGGAATAGTCGATCAAATAGTATATCATGAAATAAGAAGAACGTAAAATATATTTATTTAAAGCAAAACGTCGCCATTTTTTTTTTTAATGAAATTAAGGAAAAATTCGTAATATACTATATTCTTACCTTTTACAGTATCATCAATTTCTGGTTTGTTAAATTTTACGCAATTGTTTTCAAAAGGATTTTTCTTAAAAAACAAATGGAATTTATCAAATCTACCAAACGTAAGATTATAAGCTTGATAAAAATATTAAGATATCAATAGAAAAAGACATTCACATACACAAAATTTTAAAATCTTATTTACAATTTCCGAATTTAGAAAAAAAAACAGGATATTTATTTACTCCACATGCTTTTTCCCTCATTTTCAACAATTATTAAAAATTTATTATGTGAAAACGTCAAACCATCAAGAATGAATAAAAATGCAGTTAAACACCTGCTGAGAACATTTAACATGGCAAACGATGTACTAATATAAATGCTAGAAGACATAAATATAAACGTTTATTTAACATTAAATTTGTTACTCAGGCCTCTTTCAACTCATCACAATTTAAGTTCCCATATTACAATATGAGCGTCGTTATTGTTGGTCTCCCGAATTGAGAATGAATTCTTAGACTTATCGGAAGGGCAACAGGGCTGCCTCCAATTCACATACCCTCGACCTCCCATTAAGGTGATAATTGTCCTACGGGTATTCGCTTCAGCGGCACCCCGACCACCACTCCAAGTCTTACAGTTCTGAACTGTTTTACTATTACTATTACTATTGTTATTGTTACTATTACTACAATTATTAAAACTAGTTACGTTTGGCTTTGGTTCTTTTTCCATAGAAACACTATTTTCACATACATCATTCAACTGTCTACTTACGTTGGAGTTATTTCTTGATATACTGCTACGTCCCACACTATTCCTCATGGCCATGCTTTCCTCACTACCAGAAGAAGTGTACAAACTCGACGATCTCGAGTCAACCGACCAATTGGACAAATCAAGAGATCTTGGTCGACTGACTTTCATTTTTAGCCTTCTATCAAGGGTGCTTACTTTTCCTGGGATCATTGCAAGTTCAGGATCGCTTCGTCTTAGAGACTCGTATATATTCTCCTCTCCCTCATAGTCTTTTACGTACATGAGATCCCCATATAATCCATAGACATCACAAGTGTCTCCTGATCCGTGAGAAGAAGCAGAGCTTGACGAAAAGATGGATCCTCCGTTGCCTATGCTTCTAGGTAATGTTTTCGAAAGACGGGAAATATCGCCATCTTTGGAACGTTTTCTTCGTAAAACTACAGGACTATTAGTAAGTTGCTGTCGTAATTTTGCCGTCATGGCTGCCACTGAGGTTTCTGGATTTTCTTTTTCTTTATTTACTTCTGGCGTTGAAGATCCGTTTATGCTTGGGTTCATAGTGTCAGGGTCAGCCCTATGAACTGTAACTTCTTCCCGTATCTCTTTAGATGCCCGTTTTGTTGGGTTTACAATACCATTCTTAGGTTGTAAAGCAAGAAGGAAAGTAATTGGGCCAAAATGAGCATGATACGAGATGTTCATTCTCCCGCTAATAATAGGAACACCTTCTAAGCGAGGTAACGGGATTGTTAGAATTATTCCTACATTTGTGCCAACCCATAAAAGCCCTTTGCAAGCTAAGAGCGCTGTTACATACACATCTGTGTGTCCACCATTTATATAGCAACCGGAATTTCTGTTCGTTGCTGTCGACCTCAACACGTTGGACGCAATATTGATGTCTTGAAGATGCTTAAACGTTTCAGTATGGTATAGACAAACAGTGCTAGAATTTTTTAGTGAAATCCATAATCCAATACCACTGTGAGTCATCAAGTTAACGTTTCCTCCATGTTCATGTTGAATACTAAAGTTCTTTTGAATTTCGCCTGTAACGCTGTTAACCACCCAAACTTTTTTGCCACAGCCAGCATATAAACTATAATTAATGGGTAACAAGCTTGAAACAGGATCATGACCTAAATTAAGAATTTGTGGATCTTTGAGGATCCATGCACTATCAATCGGATTTCTTCGATAGATTAGTAAAGTTCCATTCCCAAGTGCAACAAAGACGTTATCACAGTGATACTTTATTTGAATGATAACGTCTGGTACGACAGAACTCCCAACTTCTTCCTGCTTTTCTGGTTCATCTCCGGCGTAAAGTATAAGCCTTCTGCTATCTGTCCCCATCCAAACAGTATCAACTGCTAAAGAAGGACAAGGGGGTTGAACGCCTTTTACATGCTCCATCGCAGTGACTTGTGTTTCCACAAGTGAAAATGAAGAGAAGTCTTTTAGTGTACCAGACTGTTGATGGTGCTGACTTAAGACTTTTATATGGCTACTAGCACCGTCTGATGTGCACAGCCATAAATAACTGTTGCTACGAGTGCGTCTTCTTGATAATTTTGGTGAGTTCACAGTGTAGAAACAACCACAGCGGACCTAAAAAAAACATATTTTTTTAAAAAAGTAACAGAAAAACATTGATTCTAACTCAACATACTTCACTTTGGTGCTGTGATTTGTAAACTTTCTGTGCTTTCACAAAGAGCGGCATTTTCGTGGAAGGTCTCTGTTCCTGTTCAGGAATATCCCACGAAGGCGAATTATTAGGATCGAGAGCCAGCTGAGCTAATCTCAGTTCTGTGATCCATTCCCTCTTCACTGCGGGACTTTCAGCTTGAAACGTGAAAATTTCCTCTTTTGCCTTGCCTTTTACCATTAATTGTAAGCAACAGGAATCCATCCATGCCATTTCCTCGTCTTTTTTTTGAATTTCTTTTTGAATTTGGTGAAGAACTTTTCTCATGTTATCAACAGATAGGTCTCTGTAAGAGCCTCTTAGGGTGCCAACTAAGTCAGAAATCCGACTCACAGCCTCGTAGTCGTGCATTAAATTGCTCATTTCTGTGCAAAGATTGTCCGCACCTTGAGACGGTTGAGTCCCATCAAAGGAATTGTTGGATCTTAAACTACCTCCTCGGTTAACTCCTGCTGTCAATATTCGACTTAAAGTTGGGGAGGCGCTTGTATCTTGTATTTCTATATCAGATACAGGATGAGTCCATTTAAGATTCAGTCTTTCACCAGCACCAAAATTGTCTAATGATTTTGGAGTTACAGCAACACACACAATCAAATCGTTCAGCAAAAGTAATCGCCGACTTTTAGTTTTTGTTATCATACCACATTGATTAAATTCCTGTAAAAAAAGGTATAATTAAATTAGAAAATAATTTAAATTAATTTCTTTAATTCTTACCAATTGGGTAACGTTATCTTCACGAATAAGATATCTGTTGCCATCAGAGAGGGGTCTAATTGAGAATTTTCCGCTGATATTCCTTAACATCTCTTTAAACGCTTGGAATTGTTCAGATTCTCTCTTTCTTTCGTTCAACATTTCTGTTAATGATTCGAGTTGAGTTAGCGCTAGTTGTAGCGACATCCTGTCGTGGTGTCCTTGAGGTGTATGCTTTAGTAAATCCTTAAAAACAAGAAATTTCAATAAGATGAAAAAATAATAATCTAAATAGAAATTTACATACTTGCAAAAATAATATAAATTGTGGAAATCTCTGAACAGGTTTCACCATTAGACCAAAGAATGACAACCGATCATGCGAACTGATCTGTTTCACCTTAAAAATAAAATTATTTACGTATAGAAGTTTGTAGAACAACTCAGAAATCAGAAATAGTACCTTAAGAAAATCTGCCAACGCGGATTTTCTTTTGGCTTCCATTTTAGCTAGGTCCATAGCAACGGAGAAATTGTTAATGAATTCGCTGTATATTTCCAAAACGATAGATTTGGAAAAGGAAGCGACAAAAACATCACCAATTTTTTCATCTCTATCCCAATTTTGAACACAAGTTGCCAGAGCAATTCGAAATAAGATATGGCACTGAAGAATTTCCGATAACTTGTGAAATAAAATCGATATTTTTGAACCGTTTAAAATAGGCGGATGAGTTTCTTGCAGCGGTTTTTTATAATCCTGAAACAATATATGATAATTCATCATAAAAAAAGTATGTTGCTTTTCCTTACATTCACAAGCCTTTGCAACGCTGCTACGTATGTATTTTCGCTATGTACAATTGCGGCAACTATCATTCGCCTTTTTAACTGTTGAGGACTCAAATTTGGAGGAGATGGGGGTAATGTTGGGGGAACTTGTCTCCGCTGTTGGCCTGAACAGTTTATAAAATTTTCCTCTTCAACCTGTATAAATATATATTATTTAAATAAGTCAACTCATTAAATCAAATATTTTTTCCAAAGCATTAATATCTGACTACTGTTTAACATGAGTTCCTGAAAAACAGGACAACAAAATTTGATAATACTTTATAATGGTTTTATCTACTTTTATATTTAATAATTGCACATTATAGCAACAATAATAAAACGATAATGAGAAAGATAATGAGATTTGTTAGTCAGCCACTGTACTTGGTTAATCGCTATTTAATGATTACAAAAATATTTTTTTTAACATTGCAACTGCAACAATTAATTTGCATAATTTGATAAAGTAAGTAATAAACTTAGTAACAATTGATAAACAATATCAGCAATGGAATTGCAAACAGGCAGTAGCATATTATAATGATATACATATTACATACACTATATTTATGATAACAGTCATAGCACATTGCGTCGACATATGTATAGTCATTATGAATATGTGCTTAACTACTGTGATGTAAACATCACTACGTAAATTATTCATCTAGGCAATAACAACTATATTTTCTAAAATGCCTCACCTCTGGTAGTAAAGGCATTTTATTGGTATTTTGGGGTGTTTTTGGACATTCAGACGTGTTATCAATATCATATTGATGAACCGAACTCCTCCGAATAGAAAACCACCTGGATAATCTTCCTTGATTGGCGAAGTTTTGAGGAGAGATTGATTCAAGCGGGATATTGGAATCTATATTTATTTTGTTATTACTTCCTGCCCCTCCACTTCCTCTCCATTTATCACAAAGTGTTCTGGCCTTATTTAAAGTATTTCTTAACTGACCGCTACCTCTGCAGAGAAAAAACAAAGTAAACAAAAGAAAAACAACTTTTCATGAGTGGGTTTTCGAAAAATTAGTTAAACATTTGTCTGCATGAATTAATTCAAACTTCTTGACTCATGAAGTTAAAAAAAATATTAAAAGTATAAAATGCAAATGATAATGCTTTAAAAACCTTAGCCAATTCATATCATACTCCACTTGCATTCAGTCATTCCTTAATTTATCAATAATTCTGGTTTATAATCGTTAATCACTCGATTAAAAAGTCAAAAAGAAAAATGCCATTAAAACAGATTTTTAGGTAGGTATTGGTAGACAAATTTCAAATACTCTTGTTACTTGTATAAGCAAAATTATGTACATTATTTTTATTTATTGAGACACTGAAATTTTCTTATACCTTACTAATAATGTACAAAAATTGATGGAGAGTTTGCTGTCCACCCACTTCACTTTTGTTAAAAAAATTAATATTTGTCTCGGTATGACTCTGTTTTTATACTTTTAATGCACAACTATTTTTAGAGTATCTTCTTACGTCAAGTCATTAAAATTTACACTAAAATAAGGAAGGATTTAGTACTTATATGATGGTACACGAAAATTCTTATTTCTTCTGCACGCAGAAACTACACTAAATAACTCATGGTCAAAAGATATTTAATTAAGAATAAAAAAGATGTAGCACCCCAATTATTTTAAGGCCAGTAAAAAAGAAAATGTCTATGGAAAACACAAACGATAAAAAATCTGTTTTAAAATTTTTGCATTGAATGAATGATCGCGTAGTTAGGGCTAAATTTATTAAAACAAATAATCTATTAAAAATATGAAAAGCCAACACTTCTTCGCTGTGTGATGATTTTCATAACAGTGTACCCTCATGTAAATTTGCACACGTGCTGCTTATTGCCTTTTAAGACAGTGCAAATTGGTCGATTAAAAGACCTTGGAATTCTGCCAGTAAATGTATGGTCTGCGTCCTTTGGAATACTTCGGTTATTAGAAAATGCCACTCGTAATAAAGGAAAATTACGATGCTTCACAATTTAATGCCTCCACAACGCACACTTTGCTCCTGTGGTATCGATAATTTCGGAATTTACAGTTTTCTAGTACGGAAAACAGGATGTATATTTCACGTTAGAAAAAACAATTTACGCAAAAAATATCTGAACCTTAGAACAAAGACCTACCGGAAGGTCAAATGGTGGAAATATTAATTTTAAGCGACTGATCATAAAATTTACACTCATGTGCATATGCTCAAAATCTTAAGTTAAACTCAAATTTACGGCGTTCTATTTTTTTTAAACCTGCTTATTAAATGAATTAACCGATAAAATTAAACCTACATATTGTAAATATTTTGATATAAATATGTATTAGCTATTTATAGGAAAGTTTTTCGATTCAATGACTATTTTTCCCGCTAGGAGTTGTTAAATTTAAGTAATATTGGAAAATATGTATAACATTCAACTCGAATTCGAAAATCACATTGATTTTGTTATAATTTTAACAGTTCCCACTAAAAACATAAGTCTAGGCTATTAAGCATATTGAAATTTATAAGAATCAGCTTCTCAATCATCAAAATCGGTTAAGAATTAGCCATAACAGTTAAAACTATAGCGATCAACTTTGGCGTTCCCATAAAGAAAACTAACCATTAAATCAAAAAGCTCCCCATTGAAATACTACTCAAGAACACCCCATCTATTAATTATTATTTCTTGAAGAATTGATACTCATACACAATTCAGAAAGTTTTGTTTAAATATGTTAAATGTATGTAGGTATTTTACATTCGTGGGGATCCGCAAAAATTTTTATGATAAATTACGGATTGACCTTCAAAACAACTTCGTTCGTTCCACATCATCACCATCAAAACACTCCATCAATACCAAACAAAATAAATATTACCTTGTACTAGATGTGATGCTTCGATCGCTCTCGTCCTCGGAGGAGAGTTCAACATCTGACCCTGAACACCAGCTGTCTTCGGAACTTCTCTGAGACATGGAATGGTGCAAGGTGCGGGAGTGACCCAGTGGTGGCGCCATTCTTCGTTCAGGTGTTGCTTCTTCCCAGGTTCCAGAACGAACCCGAGGTTCATCTGAAACAAATAAACATTTCATCAAAAATAATATACAGAAATAGTTCGCTAATTTTACTGATTAAATATACATTGCACGCAGACGGTCCTCTATCGTACCAGATACGTTAACTGCACCTGAAGTATTTTTTCTTTTAGGAACTATAAATTTCAGACACATTTTATAAGAGTTTTTATCAAGATTTTAGATTTTTCTACATGAAAAAAAAAAGTGTCTCGCGTATGCATTTCGCAATCATTATTGGAAAAACAGGATGGGTGTTTTTTAATTTATGTTCTTATAAGTAATAAGTAAAATTTCAATGCAATACAAAAGAACAATTTATCAAAGTTTTTGTGAATATTGCCGGTTTACACAATCTATCAATTTCCGATTTTTGTACAAAAGCCTGGCAATGTTCCAAGTACATCTACTCAATTACCGGAAGGTCAAGGAGAAAGAAGAAAGCCTTAATTAGAGAAACGGGCGAGTAGTATTAGCACTTACTAAAAAATCCAACATAAAAATAAAAAAGATTAAAAGATTGCTAACTGCGCCAAATTAGGAAACAGATATACTTCCACAATTGCAATCAGTGATGGATTCCACTACCGGACGTGTAGTAAACAAACTATAACAAAAACTAAAATAGTAAAAGCAATTTTCCATTAATTTTCATTAAACAAATTGCTTTTTTAAAGAACTAGGAAGGTTTATATCGATTTTTGTGATCTAATAAGAGCATAGATACAGACATGACAGCAATCGATTTTACTTAACTGCATTTAGAAAGCCAAAAATTGTCAAAAATACTTCCAGATTTTTTCCTTTTTTAAGTAGGTACTTATTTTATTTTTATAGGAAAAGTCTAGGGTCTTTTAACAGTCCACCTCCTTTCTGGATTTTAAAAATTTGCTGTTAAAGACTAATTAACTTTTTTTCTGTAAGGGCTCTGCCGAACATTTATTAATGGCAAAAAATGTAGCATTCTAAAGATGGCGTTCATTGCGCTGTTTATTGTTTACATACAGTACCTATATGTATATGTAATTAACCAGATAGTTACATATAGTTGATTCTTCATATATGCATATATTTTTATGTAAATCTTTATCATGGTAATTTCTTTTATGTGCATATTTTCATATGTAAAATCAATCATAATTTTCAATAGTACAAGTAACGTAAATATGCTCAGTATTCGTACCAGTCCAGGGACAACTCGTTTTAATTCGATTAATTTAGACACTTGATGTTCATTGTCATCATCATCTATATAATTATTCCACGAAAGGTCATCGACTTTTATTTAACACTAAAACGAAATTGCTTATCACTTTTAAAAATCCACTAATGATAATAATGAGACATCTTCAATTGAAAATATATGCGACATTTACATCAGTATTTTGAAAATTACTTCAAAATTAACTTATTCATTTATAAATCAGTATAAGAATTGGTAAAAACATTATATTGTTGAATTTTTGAAATTCCATAACTCCAGTCCAAATTCTATAATACAAGAATTTACATATGCTATCAGCAACGTAGAGACGTAAACATTTGGAAGTGAGTCAGACAAGGATGTCCACTGCTACCGCTACTTCTTAATCTATACATCGAAGACGCAAAAACATCATTAAAGACAGTACAATTGCAGGGATAGATATACAGGAGCAGAAGAATAGTATGCTTAGATTTGCAGATGATATAGTAGTATTAGCATCTAGGCAAGAAGTACTAGGGATATAAAGCAGAGAATAGCGCAGGGTTGAGTTGCCTTCAATAAAAAGAAGTCACTTCCATGCTTGCGATCGGTTAATTTAGAAATTCGAAAAAGATTGTTGAAGGTGTCTGGAGCCGCCTGTAAGGATGGGAAACATGGTGGGCGCGGCGGAAAAGAAAAGTTTGGAAACGCTCGAAATGTGGTGAACAGGCGAATGATGAGGATACCGTGGATAGAGAAGGTTACAAATGAAGAGGTATTAGAAAGAATAGGAGAACAGATGAAGTCAATAAGAAATAAGCGAGACAAGTTGACAGGACTCGTTCTCAGGCATGAAGGGCTAGTCAGAAGCATATTAGAGGCAGAGACAGACTTAGATTAGACTACTATTCGCAAATAGTTAAGGATGTAGGATGTTCTAGTTTTGGGGAAATGCGAAGATTAGCTCAGGATAGGAAGGAGTGGAGGTGGGTGTCCAATCAGTCTTAGGACGACCTTACGATGATATGCATCGCAGATACTAGCTTCGACATATCCGCATACGTATTTGCTTATTTCAAAAATGTTGCATCCGCGACATACAGGGTTGAAAGAACCACAACTTTGTGTTAAATTTATTCTTATTTATCTAGACACTTTTCCATGTTTTAAACAGTCTTTTTGTCGTTTATTTTGAATATATATTTTAAACTGGTTTTAATTTATTTCTTTATTTCTAAACCTACCAAAAACAAATACATACTTACTTTTGCCGAAAGAATTTAAAGACTGTGATGTTTTTTTATTTTAAATACAATTCAAAACACCGTTTAATGTTTAATTGAAAACATGTTTTATTTAGATTGTATTTTAAATAGTGTTTAAAATACATATTCCAATAGTGGCAACATCCCTAACTGTGTACGAAGTCAAATTACCCTTTAAATTCCTATTGAACGTTCCCTCGTGTTTAAACACACAATTTTTCAATTTAACGATGTTAATAATTACACAAAACCAGAAAAAAATGTTACATTCTTTTCTTATATTTTGTGTTATTCAACAACAGATATTTTTTTTCAGAGGAATATAATGAGACATTTCCAAGACTTTTCCGGATGTCTAAAGGTTTCGAACTTCCACATTAATCGAATACGATGTTATACAATCAGTTCCGGATATTACGTGAAAATATGGTCGTCTATATATATAAAATATCTGAATCGACTTTTTTATCATTACGGAAAACATTGTCGGCAATATAATTGTTCGAAAATAGATCGATTGTTGTTATTTGTTTTGCTTAAAATTTCACATAGATTACGTTTGGGTCTGTTCTGACCCACTTCCTCAAAAATTTTGTATCTCGGTTATCGTTATGTAAGCAGATAAATAAAATAAACAGTGTTGAGCCACCCTGATTACGTGATACACGCACCATATAGTTTGCACAGACAATATTATCTTAATTTTACGGCCACTCGGAATAAATAAAAAGAGACTAGGTATGGTGTCTCGGATGTTTCCTGTATGAAGTGAATACCACGAAATGGAGGAAACAAAAGCTCCACTGTTACATTATTTCAGTATTTACTACAAAGCACCTGTTTGTTTAGTCAAATACGTATGACAGAGGTTTAATGTTCTTTAGATGAATATAGAAAATGTTTTTGACGTGACAACGTCTTATAATTCGATGGAGCCGGCTGCACGCACGAAAAAACATGACTCATGCGGCGTTACCTCGCTCTGAGGCGTTCCATTTAAGGCTTGAAGTGCAAGCAAGAGCGCGGAACGAGCGACAAAGAGGCACAATCGGCCTCCGCGTTCGGCAGCGTTCGACATCTGTCTCGTTCCTACTTGAGTGAGCGATGCGTTCGCGTGGACAGCTGCTATACAATAATACATTTCCATTTACCTCCTTCTTTATATCCATACAAAATATCTATCAAACAAATAAAATTAAAATTTTCTTTTGAAAAATGAAACCATTCCATCAGTATTTTCTTATGACGTTGTCACGTTCAACTATCGTCAGTAAACCGACTTTACAGACAACCAATTTTTTACGTAACTTGTAACTGCACTTATAAATTTATAAATAACCAGATTTATATAGGAGTAAGACAATTATACTTACAGGTTTTACTTAATAGATAGATGTGTGTTAAATTTGTGTTGATTTACAGGCCATTTCGTCGATTACAAATCACACAAATGCCATCCAATTTCGTTCTCAATTAATACCGAAAAATAGCTACTTCACTTCAATTATCCAAACATGTTACGTTTCTGTTCGCAGATGTAAGCGTATAAATTATACATACATATGTTGAACGAACGAGTCAAGAATAGAGAGGAATCCCAGCTTGCAGAACTTCTTCGTGTTAATAACCTTTCTCTTTGCGGGCTAAAGATAGTGCAACAACACGATTTATTAAAAATAGCGACCGATATTACGAAAGCTGGTGGCACAACAAACCCAGGACTTGACTGCTTTCAGGAAGACGAGCCAAAGTTCAAGTTTAAAATCTACTGTTTGCCAAGTCACTGAAACGCTACCTTATTCTTATCTATTCGCGTACACAAAACTATAATATACTGAATTTTTTTTTCAGATTTCTAGAATATTTTAATTCAATTTAAACAAATAAAACTCCATTCGGCTTGATTATTTAAAAGGTTCCTGTTGAGCGAGAGAGTTTCTTAATTTTATTTACATCACTGTGAAGGACCATAACATTCTTTTGATCTAAATTATTATGATTAAAATAGATATAGTGTTCGGAGAAGCCAGTGTTTTGTTAGGGTGTGTGCTTTAGTAAATCCTTAAAAACAAGAAATTTCAATAAGATGAAAAAATAATAATCTAAATAGAAATTTACATACTTGCAAAAATAATATAAATTGTGGAAATCTCTGAACAGGTTTCACCATTAGACCAAAGAATGACAACCGATCATGCGAACTGATCNAACATTCTTTTGATCTAAATTATTATGATTAAAATAGATATAGTGTTCGGAGAAGCCAGTGTTTTGTTAGTACCCTGCAAGTGTTCTTTAGTTCTTTCGCTGATTGCTCTCCCACTTTGTCCAATATAAAAGACATCACAAGCGTTGTACTAAACGCCATAATAGTTTTCCGAAACTTATTAATGTATTTATTTTCGTTTTATTTCGTTACTAGATGCCAGACAGGTACAAAAATATTACTTTGGTTCTCTATTATGTAATTTCTAAATGCTTTAAGTGATCTGCGATGGAGGTAATTCTTTTTCTCGTGGAATACTTTATTTATTTCACGGTTACA